AAAAAAAAGAAAAAAAAGTTAAGGGGCTGGGCACAGTGACTCACGCCTATAATCCTAGCACTTTGGGAGGCCAAGGTGGATGCATTCCCCAGGCTCACAGGTTGGAGATCAGCCTGAGCCAGAGTGAGACCCCCATCTCTAAAAACAGCCAGGCATTATAGCAGCTGCCTGTATTCCCAGCTACTCTGGAGGCCGAGGCAAGAGAATCGCTTAAGCCCAAGAGTCTGGAGTTGCTGTGTGCTATGATGCCGAGAGAGAGAGAATCACTTGACTCCAAGAATCTAAGGTTGCTGTAAACTATGACACCATAGCACTCTACTGGGGTGACAAAAAGATTCTGTCTCAAAACAACAACAAAAAAGGAAGGCTCCTGTAGCTTAAGCAAGTAGGGTGCAAGCCCCATATACCGAGGGTGGTGGGTTTGAACCTGGCCCTGGCCAAACTGCAACAAAAAAATAGCGGGGCATTGTGGTGGGCGCCTATAGTCCCAGCTACTCGGTAGGCTGAGGCAAGAGAATTGCCTAAGCCCAGGAGTTGGAGGTTGCTGTGAGCTGTGACACCATGGCCCCTGACAAACTTAGACTCTTTCTCTAAAAAAAAAACTCAGCTCCTACAACCCTAATCTGAGCCACTATTTTTTTGTTTTTGAGATAGGTCTAGTTATGTTGCCCAGGCTGATCTCAAACTCCTGGCCTCAAGCAATCCTCCCACCTCACCCTCCTAAGTAGCTGAGACTACTGTAGGCATACACGACTGTGCATGGCTGAAACACTTTATTTCTCTTTTGGAATACATCATAATCTTTAAAACAACCTCTGCTTCCAATTTTGGCCCATTCCCAGCCCTGCCAGTCTGATCTCAATCAGCCAAATTCTTTACAACGTTCAGTTAAGTCATCATTCCAAATCCACCGGTAGCTTTCTATTCCACTCCAAGTAAAAGTCAGGGTCCACCATACCCTATCCCGGTTACCTCATCCACTACTTTTGTCCCTGGCTCTCTTGGCTCCATGTCTGACTTCCTCACCTCCTTCAAGTCTGTACACATTCCTCACCCTCTTTGTACAGGTTATCTTTGCTATGCTACTCTATTTTAAGTCCAAATGTGTCCTCCTCTCCCACCCACAACGTACAATCTCCTCTACCCCTTTGTATTTTGCTCATACCACACATGTTATGTTTTTTTTTTTGAGACAGAGTTTCATTTCATCACCCTCGGTAGAATGCAATGGCATCATAGCTGACAGCAACCTCAAACTCTTGGGCTCAAGAAATTCTCTTGCCCCAGCCTCCC